CATAGACAGTGGGTACAGGATGTTGGAAAAGTCTGGGCTCAGGTATTTAGGATTCGGATTGAGGCGCGCTTTGCACAGTTCGTGAAAAAATGGGTTTTTTTTCGTTTCTACAAATCTCATGCATTGACGGGGGCTAACCTCCTTATTGTAGATCAGTAAGTGTTGCTATAACGTATATGTTACTGTATTTTTGTGTTCACCAAATCATTTCATTCATGAACGAAAAATATTCAAACTTCTGTTTTTATTCTTGCTGATTTTCGATCTGAATTAACTGAAATAATTGGAAAAAACACCATCGCTGAATCTCAGAAATCTATGTAGTAAATTAAAGCACACCATATTTTCGATGTGAACACGTACTTCTATTGAATCGCGTAGAATAATGTACATAAGGGGGAACAGTAATGGTTAACAAAGTATAATGTGACTTTTTTCAGCAAGCAATCACTGGAAGAGTTGGCGCCGATTGTCAAAACTTTGATGGAAGTGAAGGGCAGCAGTCTAGCGGAGACGCCCATTATGCTGGTCGGAAATAAAAGCGATGACGCTTCGGTATGTTTTGAAGACAATGCAAGCTTCATTAAAAATAATTCTTAGGGTTCAGTATTCTTTGAATGTCTCCCAGTTTTTGTATGCCGTGAACTGATTTTATATTCTTGGAATAAAATTGTTTCAAAACTGAATTTAGTATTAACGCCAGAAACAAAAAATTTCTTTTCGGCTTCCTCGCAGAAAGCTCCATGTAACGTATCTCACCAATCAAAAAAGCAAAAGCCGCTTTCGAAAGTTATGAAATAGAAATGATGATTTCGGAGCTATGAGTATCTATACCGTAATTTTGAAGCAGGGCATACAGTTATAGAGTGGAATTAGAAATTTTCTATGGCTTTGCATGATTTCTCCGAATTTGCTCAATGCATATATTCGGCTGTTAATCTCAGACTTTGTTTGGTAAAAATAATGACAATGTGTATTGCCCTTTTTTTTAACTCGTTAAATGTCAAATCCGAAAACGTCAAACAATAAATAA